CTGCCCCGGCCCTGCCCCCTGCCCCGGCCCTGCCCCCTGCCCCTGGCCTTGTCTGCCCCCTTGGCCCACTGGCCACAGTTCTGCCCCTGGACGTGCCTTGAGAGCTCTATTTTGGGGCCTCCGCACCTGTGCTTCTCTTGGCCTCAACCTCCCCACCCCACCCCGCCACTCCCTCTCTCCTTGTCCTTGGCTCCTGTGCCACCTCGGGGAGGTTTCTCCTTAGCGCTCTGTCCAGCCCCATCCCCGCTATTCCTAGTGTTTACCATATCTGCAACTGTACTCTCTTATCTGTTGGCTACTTCATCTCCCCCACCCCAAACGTGAGCTCCACATGGGGGTGGGCCTGACTGCCCTGAGCCTCACATAGCGCTGTGTGGGACGTGGGTGACTAGCGTGCTGGATCCCCGGGGAGGGAGCCCCTGCGTTGAATGGAGGCCGACTGGATCTGGCCCGCTGCGCAACTACCCCCAGCTGCAGGCCCGGCGGGCGCCGCCCCCCACGGTGCCCTGTTTGCTTCTCGAGAGCCCCCTTTTTCCCTGAGTCTGACTTGGGTGCAGCTGCTCTGCTCCTGTGCACTGGACGGAGATGGTGAGGAGGGGCAGGAGGTGGGTGCAATGCGAGACCCTCCATCTAGGAGAGGTGCTGTGTTGCGTCGACCGTGGGACAGTATTAATCTAAGATGCTTCGCTTATTTCTTGTTGCGTGTCCTGTGTTGAGTCTAGAGGCTTCAGATGTGGCTGTTTATTTTGCCCTTTAAAGATGCCCCCAGAGCAAGCAGGCTTCTTTGGGCATAGAAGGTCCCCGTGGGGCTCATGGCTCTTTTCTTGGTCCATGGAGTTCCCTCCCAGACCTCATCAGCATCTGGAGGAGCGCTTGGCGATGGCTCAGCGGGTTGAGGGAGCTGCCTTTTGGGTTCGGAGAGGAGCCCCGACGTACCTAGAACCTGGGGTCAGCATTGCTCTCCTGACCAGAGCTGGCATCCTCTCATACTGACGGACATCTTCCAGCCGTGCGTGTACAGGGCACTGCCCCTAGGTGGCCATGTGTGCTTGAGGTGCCCGCTGAGGGAGGGGGCAGGCCATGAGGAGGCCAGGCTCGGTGCCCGTCCGCCCGATGGTGGATGTCCACGGTCAGAGCCAGCAAGGTCTCGGGTCTGGGCCAGTTCCAGGAGCTGGTCAGGGTCTGAGGAGTGAGGCGGCCCCTGGGCTTGGGCAAGCAGGGAGCGGATGTTGGTGGCGCTGTTAGCTGACGTGCATCCCCTCCCCTAAACGAGGCCGCAAACAGTTTGCCCATGTGTGCCCTTCCCTGCTGTGCTACAGAGAGGAGGCTTCTGCTCAGGCCCTGGCCCCTGGCGTTCAAGCATCCATGCCCCCAGGGCCACCAGGATTCAGTGGACTGGGGGTTGACCGTGTGCATCGTTTAATTAGTGTGTGTGTAAACATGTGGATACTCAAGAGATCAGCAGTGTGACATCTGTCACTGGAGGGGAGGGTCACTTGTCAAGGTCAGAGGTCAGGAATTTGATGGGTCTCACTAGAGCACAGGGCTACGTGGGAGGCAACTTGCCGAGGGGGCTGAGAACCAGGCCTGTGTCCAGGGTGGAGCATCTGGGCCACGTGTCCATGGCCGTGTGAGTCACAGACTCAGTGTCTGATATGGCAGAAAGGAGCAGGGATATGGCAGGGGAGGTTGGGGAGTGGGCCAGCAAGTGGGCGGGAGCCACCACCCCTATCCTGCTGCCAGCCTGGGGTGCAGGTACAGGTGGAGGCTGCTATGACTGCCCATTTTAGAGGGCAGCACGCCTGCGTGGGGGTTGAAGTGTTACTTCTGGTGACGAGCTCAGGACAGGAGTTTGTCCCCCAGGCTCTGGTTTTCTGGGTGTTCTCTAGCCCTTGTGAGAGCCTAGACTTTTGCCTCAGCCTGGTGGGTGAGGTACTGCAGGTGTGTGTGTGTGTGTGCATGTGTGCACGTGTGTGTGCATATGCGTGTGTATGAGCATGTGCGTGTGTGCACGTGTGCCCATGTGCGTGTGTACGTGTGCCCGAGCATATGTGTGTGCCCGTGTACCTGAGAGCACACGCGCATGTGTGTCCACGTTCGTGTGTGCATGTGTGCACATGATCATGTGTGTGCAAACGTGCGTGAGTGCATATGTGCATGTGTGTATGCGCGCGTGTGCATGTGTGCACATGAGCGTACGTGTGAGTGTGTGCATGTGCGTGAGTGCACGTGTGTGTGTGTGTATGTATGTGGGGGGGGGGCTCTCCCGCCAGGACGACTCCTCAGTCTCCCATCCCGCGTTCTGTGCTCTGGGTGGTGCGTTGTAGCTGTCCTGGCTGTTTTTAATGAACAAAAATGGAACAGTAAAAAAATTCAGCCCCCGTTGCAACAGCCACATTCAAGTGATCAGTAGCCAGTGCTGCCTGGAAGGGATTATGGCCTTCCTACAGTGTTGTGCTGACCCCTAGGCTTCTTGCCAGGAGAGATACAGCCCCCCACCCCACCGACAAGCCCATTCATGCCTTGCAGTCTGGGCGTCCTTGCTCGGTGTGGCCTGGTATTTGTCGCTGCCTCCGCCCCTCTGAGCCTGCAGGGAGAACCTTCCCAAAAGATTGCCTGGCACTTCTCCCGTTCTTCATCCCAGTGGTCCCGTGAGGTGGCGCTGTCCTCACCCCAGTGATCCCGTGAGGTGGCGCTGTCCTCACCCAGT